CTACCAACAAGATCACATTTGAAATATGTTGTGAAAGATCCACAGATAGAAAGATCCTGCTGCAGGATGTGTGGGGAAGGCAATGAAAACATTGAACATATTATAAGTGGGTGTAAAATCCTAGCTCCTACATACTACACTGCTAGACATAATGATGTTGCGAAAATTGTCCATCGAGAGCTCTGCAAAATTGCCGGAATAAAAAAACATGAAGCTCCATACTACCAGTACCGACCGGATCCAGTAACGGAGAATGATAGAGCAAAAATCTACTGGGATAAGACTATGCTGACTGATCAAACTGTGCAACATAATAGACCTGACATCTGCCTGCTGGACAAAGATAATAATGCGCTCACGCTGATAGATATTGCTGTCCCTGCGCCTGCCAACCTGGAAAGGAAGCACACTGAAAAGCTGGAAAAATACATACCTCTATCAAACGAATTACGAAGAATATGGAACGTCTCAGGAATTCGCACAGTACCATTGATTATAGGAGCCACAGGAGAAATCCCGCAGAAGACCCTTGATGGCCTAAAACAACTGCAGATTCCCGAAAAATACTATCTTGAGATGCAAAAAGCGGCCATACTTGCAACATGCTACATAATGAGGAGGGTATAAAATATAGAAGAGTAGAGAAGAAAAAGAATGATGTCTTGCCCAACCAGGCCGACAACATTATTACTTACCGTTGAAAACGTGAATAAAAAAATAATAATAATAATAATAATAATAATAATAATAATAATAATAAGCTCATCATTTGTTTTGTTGAGGTCTGTATAATCAAGAATCGTATCATCATAATCATTTTTGATTTTATTTATTATTGAATTAATTCTCTAAAATTTTCGGTTTTAGTGTTTGGTTGTATTTTCTTTTCATATTCCCCCATTTCATAATCTAAGCAATCAACCTCTCAAATCTTAAACTTAAAAAGAAACCTATGGCTAAGTTTTTTTCCTCAAATTTCCGAAAGATTACTTTGGTAAATTGAAAAATGGCGGCTCAAATTGATCTTTTTTTCAAATAGACATACTGAGAACTAGAAAATAATCTACATTTGTGCATAAATCGAATTAATCTGGAACACATTGCCATTTTGGAGAAACTTTAAAAACTATTTTTTAGATTTCCTTTTTTATGCACGGATTTAATTAAAGCTGGTATCCGTGAAGTTATTACCACAGAAAGTCCAGACACAGGCTTTAAAGTGGCATTGTTTTTAATTAATTCATTTAATAATTGCAACAACTTGAAGTATTAGATGGGTTTTTTTATAGGTTTGTGTAATCGAAGCCAATTTCTAGGCGTAGAATCTCGAATAACTAATTTCTTATATGAATACTGAAACCGATTTAGACCTTTATAGGCAACCAATATATATGCTGCCAATCTCCATCCATTCCGGTATCCAAAAATAAAGTAATCGATCAAAAGGTCCCTTGGTTGCTATGAAGAGACTCTGACCCGCATTAATATTGACCAAGAGTGTACTTGGCAATGTAAACGACACGTGGATGCACTGTTTACGAGGCGCAGTCACTAAAGATTCGCCGCGATGCCTGCTTGGAACGACGACAGCGTATGAAAATTCAAATGCGGACGCCTGTAAAATATATCCGAATGTTTATATGTTTACAATTTGCGAATATTAATTATTGTAATCACTTATATTTCTTGCATAAAATATGATGTGGAGAATCAATGGAAACAAACACTGCTGTAAAACTTATAAATCATAACAAATCAATAATAAACAAAAGATAACAAAATATAGAGATATTTTCTTCTCCAGTAAATAAATTAGATTATTTTCATATTCAAATTGTTATTTTGGCCATTTTTAAAATATTAAGGAAAAGATTTAAAAAATGTAATCCAGTCTATACAGGGTGATTTACCGTGGATGGCAGGTTAGACGGTTATGGGGAACGAAATCTGCTATATATTATATGCATTATATTTGTTTTAATTTATGTTCACTTGTTATTTATGTTTATTTTTGTATAATACCTCCTTATTATATTTAGCGGAAATTTTGGCTATAAAAATTACGTTTTTCAAAAGGATCTCCCTATATTCTTTAAACTATTCTGGAAGACAATTAAACACCCAGTCTAATAATATGATCTAACGATTTAATAGTAGTTGAATCGTGTCCGAAATTATTAAATAAATAAATGCATTTGGGTGGCAAAAGTTAGCAAGCAACACCAAGCCAAATTAGTGCCAAACCAAACGTTTCTGTAGTGATCGATTGCTTTTTCGGCAGTGCCAAATGCGTTAATAATATATTATGCAAAGTTCGGTAAATGGCAATTATCTTCTCCCGTCTGTAAAATACCTAATTACACATCGATCTAGCATGCGAGATGCGTCACTTTACCACGTCAGTTTCGTTTTCCACGGATCCGAGCCACTTCGGACATTTCCGCGATTTTACCGCACAGGTTTGGGAGCAATCGGATGTTTTCGGAGATATTTCCCACGCTTTGAATTTTGACGTTTGTCAATTCTGACGTCAAAGAATGAATTCGTGTTGTTTTGCAAAAATGTACCCATAAACTAACGGTCATGAAAAAAGTATAGTATGCACCACGTTCGGTAAGCGTTTTAACTCACTCGTAAATAAATAAAGTCGTGAGTCAAATGCCGTTTACCGCACTTGTTGCATAATATACTATTATGTCACGAGTGTTTAATAAACGAATGACCAAACGTGTTGCACGAGCGCTAGTTTTTGGGGTACATTTTTCAAAGCAATAAATAGATTCACTGACATGACCGTCAGAATTGACAAACGTCAAAATTGAAGCCTTGCGCTAAAATCTCCCAAGCCATCCGAACGAAGCTCACGTGGTAAATCGGCGCTTTGTGCATGTTGCATCGGCGTACAATTATTTATTTTAGACAAGGAAGTAAAAAAAATATATTAAAATGGGATGCTACTTTTTTTTTATAGAACAATTTAATAGTAATAATACAAGACGTGTGGTAAATAGCATTTGAGTGAGGAGTGGCACGAAAGATGGGAAGCGAGTGCTCAATAAAACGACCGTTCGACTGACATGACCGTTAAAATTCAAACCCTGCGGTAATATCCTCGAAAAGGGATCTGAAAACATCCGATTGCTTCCAAACCATATGTGGACAACGAAACTGGCGTGGCAAAGTGATTAGAATATTTCTACAATGCAACTTTTTAAACCGGCTTTCATTTCTAGCTTTAATTTAATCAAACCTGATTTACAGTATTATTATTCCTTATTCCTTATTCATAAAAAAGCCACAATTTCTAAATAATATTCTTATGAGGGCGATCTCAGCCACAATGTACCACATTCTAGTAAAATTTAGACTGATCATGTTAAGAGAGAAGAGAGAGAGAAAAAAATATATGGCAGAACAACTTAGCTCCACAATTTTTACGAACGTTGCATTCGTAGGCAAATAATTTAAAATTTATATTTTCAATTTTTTTTGGATTATTGTTGGGTAGTTTTGGTTACTTCTGGTTTTCATGTGCCAACTAAACACAGATGCCGCTGATCTGATGATTTAAAATATCATTTCGAGAGCTAAGTTCACTTGCCGAATGTTAGTGGCAATAGTCAGTCAGTAGCATTATATATGGACCGTTTTAAATTTGATTAAGCATTGATTGATGGTATTTTCGAATAAGTAGAAGCGTTTTTTATAAGAATATGTACCGTCTTAAAAGTTTAATTGAAAAAGAATATGTTCGTATGTATGACGGAGGTATTTGACTGTGATCCTTACAGTAAGTACGTGTTTATGTACCTGCTTCTCGAGCTTTGACCCTGCGGGGTGTTTTCACTGGATAGTTCAAAGGGTAAGGGTAAGTATCTGTACTTTATTTATCTTAGAGGTAAGTTTGAAAATAATCATTTTTGTCTTGTGTGCCTGTCGATTAACAACATTCTTCTTCAGTCTTTTTTATATAGGTACCTCATACGAATACAGATTAATATTTATTAGAATCTTACAATTAAACATTTTTTGAAGGGGTTTTGAATATTTATTAGAATCTTACAATTAAACATTTTTTGAAGGTTCCTGTTTTTTAGCACTTTAAAATGTGGAGTCCGTGTAAATTTAATCTGATGCAGATGATTTGGTCTGAGTTAAAAGCGCATATAAGAAGAAATAACACTGCGCCAAAATTTAGTTATAGTGCCATAAACGTAATTCGGCAAGAGGTGCTAAAATATCAGTACAAAGATGGTCTAATTGTGAAAAACGAGTAATAAAAGTAGAAAATATTTATCGCAAACGATTAGTGGCGGAGTTGATCATTGAACTAGGTGACGACGGTAGCGATAGGGTCGATTTTTTAAGTGACTGATACTTTATTATTATTATATTTAATATTTTGTATACTATGTAGAAATACTTATATACATACTTATATCCCTCTTGTTGCTGTGGACAGATAAATTCCTGGGACAGTCCTGGAATGGTTACGGGTAGGGGTCTGCTCGGCAGGGTATTCTATAAGGGGCTGCGGTTTTGGAGTAATAATGAGTAGGCAAAGTTAATCACAGGGTCGATTGTAAACGCACTATATTTGTGGTCTAAGTATACTCTTTGCTTAAAGGCACCTCGATGTTTCAATATTTACTCAAATTTGTTGATATTTTCGACCAAAAGATCGGACGTCTCGCGTGACCCACACGGATCACCTACTTCGGGACCGTGACTTTCGTCCGTCCAAGTTTAGCGCGCGTCGCCCCGCGCTCAAATCAGGCACCCGGCACTCTCGCGCGTCCCCCCAAAGACGGACCGAACGCAACCCCCCAAGGGGGGCGAGGCTCCACCCCTTCCTGGTGCCCCGCGCCGTGGAGGGGATGTTGCCTACCGCAAATAACATCGGATTAAAATGGAAATTAGAAAAGGACGCGTAACTGCATCTCTGCACCCCCGTTGCACCGATTCCCCGCACTGCACATGCTCTGCCGAAACGCTCTCCTCAGTTTGGAATGCCGATGACACCGCGCTCGGTGCACACGACCCCGACTTGCAAAATAATTATTTTAGTTACTCCCCAGAACCAGCGGACGTCGGGTGTCCACGGGACACCACTTGATCCGCGTTGGTGGTAGACCGGAATATATTTTGGACCGCATCGCGAGCCGCGAAAGGAAATAAAAAGTATCCGCGGGTCCCCTTCGGGGTAGTGATTCGAAGACTATCCCCGGAGTGCCGAGTGACACGTTTTGATTCCAAAAACAAGAAAAAACGAGCCGCAACGGACTGTCTCCAAGCGCTCGTGGCCGCCTTCAATCAGTACGCTCTTGACACCTAGACCCCCGCGGGGCGGTGGGGGCGGCTACACGTGCCGTAGCAACAGGTTAGAGCCAAAGTGGGTTCAAGTTCAAGGTAACGCGGCATCGATTCGTCGGAATTGAGGTAATCCGTGTTATTCCTATGCGAAGAGTGGAATTCGGTGGCGGCGGTGGGGGTAATCCTCACCCCCGACGAAACCCGGAAGAAGAACAACCGATTTTTAATTTGCATGCCCCACTTAATAATCGAGCCCAAATTTTAAGGGCGCTTTTTTCGTGTCTGTGACGTAAGAGGGCGGAATCGATTTTCGCCCCGACTGGGTCGCACCACGTGGTTCGTTTTGGACTTTTCTCAGAGGGGATGACGATTTTTTTCTTTTTTTTTTTCGATATCGTGTTCCAAGGCGCAAATATCTTTTCAAATCTAATGGAGGGGGGCGACTGTATTATTTAATGTTTGGGAAAAAGACGTCAAATACAAAAGTTGCTATTTTTAAGATATATTTTTATACATGCAGAAATCACCCACAGGTGCTTTCTAATTGAATGTTGGGGCCATTTTAAAAAGAACACAGGACAATTAATCATTAATTTAACATCGGACTGTAAGAACTCCAGAAAATGAAGAATCAATTTTAAATTCTATTGATGAAAATCATGAACTTATTATTAAAAAAATTGGAAATAATCTGAATATCTCACACGCCTTAATTTGAAAAAATATTTGGGTAGACGAAAAAAATTTAACAAGTGCAGTGGCGACCTAAGCAGCACGCCACTGAATTACTGGAAAAAATAATGACATTTGCATTCATTTATGAGGAAATTTGATCTTTTATTTTTTTTTTTAGTCCGGCACACGGTTTTTACTTAAAAATGAAAACTAATATCACTGCGTGCTGTCAAATTAGTGATGTTGTTATGGCCATACAGAGAAAAAGTTTTTATTGATTGAAAAAAATCCAAAAATGTTTTTTTTTTTTAATGACTGGGGATTATAAACATAATTTTTATTTTAATAGAAATCAGTGGCGTGCCATCAATGTCTGAGCCAATTTTATGATCTTATTTGCTTTAACAAACGTTTCCAAAATTAATTATTTTTCTCTTTCAGTAGAAGGCATTTTATAATAAAAAGAAAGTTTTGCTAAATCTATAACTGGTAACTATCGCTGTCAGTTTTAAACAAACATTTTGTTTTTTGGTGACGACCAACTTCACAGCCACCTAAGATATTATTTTATTTTTGAATGTTGCTTTTCTGTTAAAACCGCATATATCTCAAAAACTATTAGACATATTATACAAGAAATGTGCAAAATTTTTAGGGGATTTTATTAAGCGTATAATATACAATATAAAATATATATAACTTTTATCTATGGGTGATTTCTGCAACACCTTCTATATATAATATATCTGGCAAATAGCTTACTATTTTTTCAAACAACTTTCATATTTTACTTTTTCTCCCAAACGTTAAATAAAAAAGTTAAAAGGGGGGTGGGGAGATTATAATTGATCACCATTGCATTTAGTTTTCGAAAAATGAGAATTTTGTTTAAAATTAAATAATGCCTTAATAGCGAGCTTAACAACTTATTTCCAAGGTGTTTTTCAATATCAAAAGCCCCATGATTAACAATTTCACATTTTCGAGGTTAATTAAAACGATGTTTAATGAATAACTATAAATAAATTCTTATACGAGCGTAATTCCGCTTTTTTTTAAATTTTAACACTAAAAAAACCCTTTGCATTTATTTGGCTTAATGTTCCAGGATAAAGGAACTTTCCTCTTGATCTTCATAGTTTTGGTTGGTTGGTTTTGGTAATTTTGGTAATTCTACATTTAATTTTGTCTTTTAATGGAAAGCAACAGACAAAGACATATTTGTACATAATTTTTTAATTCTAAAAAACCTCTACTTTTAATCTTCACAGTTTTTGTTCCTTAAAACTTAAAATATTTGAACTATTGGCAGTACCAATTTTTTTATACATATTTTAACATAAACAGTTCAAAATCCTGGGCGCATTCTAATAGTGCTTTGTAAAATTATATAGTAATAGTTCATAACAGAAATTTAAACTTTCAAATTCGAAAATAGAAAAAAATCATCGATCCAGTCCATAATTTTAAGTGCATTTTATGCATAGGACTTGAGTTTTTTGTCTAAGTGTTTCGATATATAATACCAAAGATTTAATGTAATAAAATTCATCAGAAAATCACTGCCAGATCCGAGAATTATTAATTACCGAAAAAAAAAAACACTGCGTCCTGCTATACGTACAGCTTTTTAAATTTTATTAGTTGCCTAGTGGTTTTTAGCTGTTTAGCAATATAATAGTTAAAAAATACTTTTTTAAGTCCACCCTTTTATAAAAGAATCACCCTTAAATATTTTGTTCGTGCAAATAATATGACTCAAATTTTCTTTGTATTTCTTGCAGCATTTTCTGGGCTGAGTATAAATGTCTTTTTTGTGATAAAAAAAAACTAATCAAATCTAAATATAACCATAAATATCAATATTTCCAATCGTGTCGTCTATTTTCCTTTTATAACAGAAAAAAGTCCAGAATGGAGCATTTGCTTCCCAACTCAATATATTTATTTAGCACTCGACCAGCACCTCCTAGGATGTATCAACAAGAAGAAAGAAGTTATTCAAGAAAACGAAGAAAGAAGTCCTTACGATTTCCAAAGATCTTTCTATATTTAGAACTCAAAATATTTTTTTCACTTTATCGGATGTGTAACTACAGTTAAATAGTTATTCTGTCTTGAACTAACTCGAACACAAATAAGCAATTTCCATTTGCTGAAAACCTGTATGAGTCGAAACAACCGCAATGAAGGTAACTATAAGAATTGCGTTTCAAATATTCAAAATATAAAAAAGAGGCTAAATTACTCCTACGGTCACTTTTAAAACATATTTTACACTTTCACACATTACACATCTATCAAGAATAGTGCGACCCTTAATTCGTAACATCTTGTACCAATCTTCTTCTATTTGACTAGACCTCGTAGGCAATTATTGTCAAACAAGGATGATGTAATATGATCCTACAGCTTAGGGCACGGATTGTCGAGCAAATTAAAGTTTAATTGATTAAGCAGTTTGTCATTCAATCTCGTTTATGAACGGATGCATATATTTTATTGCGGGATATAAATATAAAATAAAAAACACTAACCATTTCCCACTTCTATGAAATAAAGAGCAATAAACTTCAGCGACAGCACCCTGCTGGTATGCAACCAAACCTACATGCTTGGCCTTTTTATTACGTGGCTTTGACGTTGCCAAACTTTCCGTTCGTAATGGGAGCAAATTAGACGAATTTATTAGATTTTCCGTATACAAACTACATTTAAGGATCATAGGAACTTAAATAAACGTTTTTTTATGTACATGTGGATACATTTCAATATTTTTACATTTTTAAAGTGATTTCTTATGATGGTGTGTGTTGACGTATCGGGTATCGAGATGAACTTAGACGTGACAACGACGCGTCCCTAAACCCATTTCGTAATTTGTTTTTTTTCTTTGATTCTCGTTTATAAATGAAATTTTTATATCAAAAAATTTGTTCAACTCCCAGTTCGCGGCAACATTTTTCAGTTTCAAAATGTCCGTATAAAATTTCGTTATTATGATTTTTTCGCCCTACCGCTGCCCAAAAAATATAACAATACAGAAATTCTTCCTTCCCTGTGATCTGTGATCATCAGTCATTTTTTGTTAAAGAGGTAAGTTTTAATTTGGTGATTTTTGTGTATTTTATGTACCATGCGATTTCGCGAAAACGAAAAATCGAAGTGTCAGTTTAACGGCAAAGATGCTTTCGTGCACGCTTAGAAGAAATCTGTGCCCATTAAAATCTCTACAATGGCGGGCTACGAAAGGTTAGATGTTAGACGTGTGCGCCTGAAAAATTATGTCAGTTCTAAGGCCCGTCGAAAATTCCTCCCAGAACCACTGTGTTGCCCAAATTTTCGCCAATACAACGTAAACAATGCACCCCTTCATTCAAAACAAACTATTTATATTTTGCCCACGGTCCTGTACTTTTAAGGGCATAGAACTTTGATGCCAATGCACGGAAGTACTTGGATTGCCCTTCTACACGATCGGGAACTCATGACATCTTACGTAGGTTAGATTCCTCCATTAAGTGCATTCTTCTATGTAATTGAAATGGTGCTTCAAGTTAACTTAACTGTTGTTTTCTACACGGTTACAGTTTTAGGTCAAATAACTCATTTTAGAACAGTTTGTGCAAATCTCGAATTTAACTAATAACGTCTCGATCGGGCTTCGTAACCTTCGCAATCGTGCTTTGAAATAATATTTTTACTAATTATTTGTTTTACGTGTGAGTGTTATTTGATTTGTTTTTATGGTTTTTATTTATTTTTATCTCATATTTAACGGTGGCAACGATGTCGTATATTTGGTGGACACGATATTAAAAATTAATCCATTACATGGAAATTTATTTTAATAGGAAACAAATCCTTTTTGCTTTCAAGTTTCTTTAGAGTTTGTAGATTTGTGATTTTAAAGATATATTAATTATAAAATAGTAAATAAATTTGTATTTGTAGGGTCTCAACAGAACATCCTAAGAAACAGTGTATTAATTGAAAACGATTAGACAGATGTAACTTTAAGTTTTGGTGGTAGATTAATATATTAGAAGTGATATTGGTGGCTCAGTGGGGTGCAATATCAGCAAACGTAATCCAAAATTTATAGTGTTGGCAGACTTTTTGTTTGGATTGTTTTTACAATATCATGTTGTCCTAAAATCTTCTGTTGAAAGAAATTAAGGTAATACTCAATTTTGTTCAGTCCTCAAGCTTGGTTTCTTCAGTTGATTTGTTAGATGTTTCGGGTTATTCTTGGTTTAAATCCAAAGTGTCCTTAATAATTTTTTACACAAATGGTAAATCGAAGTCATCAATTTTACATAATTTAGGTTGTATTAACTCTGTAGAAACTTGTTTTTAATATTATAATTATTAATAATAATATGTTAATATCAATGGTTGATAGTGTCCAAAATTTGGCTACCAAACATCCAGGACAAATTCCCAACTTAAATATGTTAAGCCTCGGTTGAGTATGTGCAAATGGTTAGCTCTACATATTTGAGTTGGAATAAGTAGTTCGAAGTGGATGGGAGCTGAAATATTTTTGACTTCTATTAATGTCTTCCCTCATTTATAAATAATAGAGCGTGGCAAAACGAAAAAATAAAACGAACTTACTTAAAATGTCCCTTCTACAACTAGAAATTGTTGACAGGTCAAACCACCTCTAGCACATCGGGTCTCAGATGGATCAACAGTACTGCCTGAGGTGGAATAATCACCTCAAAAATTTGACAGATGTGCTTACAGACTTTTTAAGGGATCAAGTACTGTGTGATGTGACCCTAGCGAGTAATGGACAGCACCTTTTCAAGGCCCATCAAATCGTGTTATCAGCATGTTCGCCATATTTCGAAACGTTATTTGTACAAAATCCGAACAAACACCCTATAGTTTTCTTGAAAGACGTCAGCCCAGAAGAGGTGAAAGCGCTGCTAGATTTCATGTATAAGGGCGAAGTGAATGTTTCCCAAAATTTGCTGCCCAGCTTTTTGAAAACGGCCGAATCATTGCAAATAAGGGGCCTCTCAGATAGTAACAATTTGAACCAAAGTGAGGAGAGCGTCGAGCGATTGCGAAGAGATCGGGAGAATCATAAGCAACATGAACGCGATAGTCCCGCCTTGAAAAGGAAAAGGACTGGCTTGAACAACAACTGTGATAATGCATCGAATTCTGTTGACAGGAGTTCTGACCTCCAGGTTGGTACCTTATTTTTTCGCTTTCAATTTTAATAGTAATTAATTTATCTCCTTTCAATTAATTTTAAGAACAAGTAAAACACAAAGGGCATTGGCTCTCAGATATTAGTCCCATTCTTGTTTAGCACTTTTATATATCGAGTGACATGTTGTTGTTAAATAGAATTTTACCAAAAATCCCCAGAACAAAAACAAATTTTGCTTAAGATACAAGAGACAACTGCTTTGAAAAACAATTCTGTACATGTATACACCCTTTATGAGGACCCCTATTTTTGTCAACTCTGTTTGCTACTAACAAATTTTCTGCACCTTTCTATAACACGCCGCATATGATATGTTCCTCCTGTTTAAAATTAACAATTCGATAATCTGGAGAATATTTGAGCCGAATGATCTTCAGCGACATTGATGTAATACCAATTTTTTTCACTTTTTTTCATTTTTCCATCATTTTTTCTTCAGCAGTGTTTGTCTTGTCTTGTCTTTATGTGAAAGCATTTAGATTTTTAAATCTTGAGTCAGGAAAAATTATGAATTTTTAGTCAGATTTTTACATTTTCATTTGTTCACATTAAAAAGCAAAGATTTCAAATAAAAAATTGTGAAATGTTTCACATTCCATGGTGTGGGAATACTCTTCTTTTAATTTATTGTTAGTGGTACCGCCGCAACATAAAAATACCAAAAAAAAGCCTCATTCCAAGATCTTATTTAAACCTTATTTCCCGAGGCGGTGAATTTTTAACCAATTTTAGGACCCGAATGGTTGTTAACAGTTGTTAGTTAACAGCACTTTTTGCACTTACTTTTTTCCAAAATTAGTAAAACTTGAATTGGAATTTGTAAGGGCCTAAGACCCAAATTTTTCTGTTGCTCGTAAATCAATATTTATATATGAGAGTTTACTTATTTTCAGTTAATGAAAGTTTGTATAAAGTTGATTTGTTGTCAGTAGTAAGTAAAATTGCCTTTAGGTCTGCTTGGCCATGTCATCTTATAATATTAATTATTAATCGATAATCGAATGAATGATGGGAAATACTTTAACTTTAAAAATATTCATTTCTTACATTTTCTGAATGCAAGTATTATGCCGAACAATTTTAATTCTTTGAAGTAACATTTAAAATATAGCTTTAAAATGAGAAAAAAAAATTAATTTAATTGATTGATTGATACTTTTGATAAACTAAAAGCATTTTTTTTAAATACATATCTTCTTGATTTTAGAGAACGTCTTAAAAAGGAAATTTAAAAATTGGTTTTAGTTGAACTTTATTAAAAGCCGTTATGGCATTATTCAAATATTTTTTATTGTGTTTGTTTCCTTTGAAAAACAATGCATTTCAGCACTTTTCTAGGCATGGAAATATAGGAGCCTAAATCAGCAGCAATTTTAAATGAACCACAACGCTCTCTTACATTTTTAAATATTATTTAATGTGGTGTAGGTGTGTGTGGCTTTCAAATATTCCAACGCTATATTTTCCTCATTTGGAATCAAACTGGACAAATTCCGACAATAATTATTGTTAAGCTAAAGTACTGTACAAAACAAATTTACCAAGCCTGGAGTTCGTGTAGTGGGCACATGTTCTCCTCGTTTTAATGGTAATAACATATGTTTTTCGATTATTAAGAACTGTTGTTTTAAACGCCAGATGTCGAAAATTAAACACCAATAAAGTGTATCACCGAAAGCCTATCACGCTCCAATTTTATATTCACGATGTTTTTAAAATATCTGGCGCTTAATTTCTTAAAATTTTCTGTTAAAAATGGGATCAATGATTTTCGTGTTTTTCTAGGCGCCCCCTAGAAACTATTACAACTTTAATTCTACCACAGTCCCCAGTCCACCTGTCGACAGGGACTGTGGTATGTCGGAAGTTGGCTCCCCGACAATTAAACAGGAACCCCTAGGGCATGACGCGAATCCCATAGAATCGTTTCATGCAAGGTCGGAAGCTTTACAATCTGTAAGTATCTTTCGTTTCTCCTATTTTTGTCGTTTGTTTTCATTAATCATGCTCATTTCCATACTCCCATCTTTTACTTTACAATTTGAAATACAATAGAAAAGAATGCCTTGCGTTAATGGAATTATTGTTTTTGACAAATCTATATCGATGTAGACACTTTGGTCGCCATGTGCAAATACCTAGTTTCCCCAAAATTGATGTAAAATGATGAAATTCGTAAATCAAAATATGCTCCTCACAGCGTTGTCTTTAAATGGAAGCACAATGAAAAAAAATATTGAAAGACATTTCCCAAACTGTTATAGCTAAAGTTTTTTGAAGTAATTATTAATTATTATTATTATTTTTTAATTAGACATGTATTTTGATATTATTTTTTAGGCAACTATTAAGAATAAGCAAATTTGGTGATACGAGGCTGTATATCTGTCTTATCTACTTTAGGGTAGCTACTGTATGATGCTCCATCAGTTTTGTCTATTTTTTAGTTGGTTAGTTTAATTGAATTTTATAAATGAAAAAAAAAAGCGATTTAAACCTTTTTCGTTACATATGTCGCCTTCATAAGGTACCTGAATTTATTCTGTTTTGATACAACTACTTAACCCAGAATGTTTCAAAATTTGTTCTTAAGTCTTATGTTACGGTTTTGTTCGGCAGTTGAAATTTCATTGCAATCTGCTTAGCTGGGAGTCCTCAATTAACCAGCCTTCATAACCCTGTTCAAGGCATAACATAAAATAACATGATACTTGGAGATTCGGGGAATCTTAATAAAAATATTTACTTTATTTAGTTTTCAGGATGACGCAACGGCGACATAACCCACAATGTCAATAAATATAAATTTCACTGTATTTTTCTGTCAATTGACCGATCATTTGACTGGTCAATTGACAAAAAAAATTGACCGGTCTAAACCTGTTGCTTTACGAGGAAGGAAACGAGGCTCACCAAGGCAGAACTTAAGAAAATGTAAAAAAACTTTTTCGACGCCTTTTGTAAACTTTGGTGAAGTTTGAATCTATTCTATATAAATATTGGACAATATTTTACATTGATTTTTGGAAACTTTATGCTTGGTTCTCGGAAGGCACAATTTAATTTTAATATTTTACTATTAAACTTGACAATTTGTTTAATTATACAGCATAGTACTTAGAAGCCGTTATTCCTAGCACTGGTTGGTTAGTTTACTAGTATATTTTTACAAAAAATCATTGAGTGATTGATATTTTTGTAATGTTTTTTTTTTTAATCTGCTATATCAGGTAATCACTTTATTATATTTATTATTTGAAGCAACTTTTGTTGAAGTACAATAGAATTTTGAGCCAAACCTATTATTTTAAACTGTTATGATATATCGAACAGAATTAGCTCACAATCAGCATTTCGCAATCATCACCATTATCATATTAATTAGCTAAAACGTAAGGATATGTGTACAATAAAATTGCCCGGTGCAGTGGTGATCCTTTAGTTTGGTGAATTTGTTATCGACATGTCTCCCCCCCAGATGATTTCAGACAGGAAAAAGGAAGGACGTTGTTAATAGTGCGTAACCATCTCGTTTGCGTTTTGCAAAATGCGGTGGTTGATAATATTGCTGCTTATTTTCCGACTCCCCATTTTACTTCTAACCTGGACAACTTGGCTTCATGAACTCTGCCCATGTACATTCCAAGTGGTAACTGCAAATTTTCTAGAGAGATATGCGTTTCATAATTGAGGTGCTGGCAAGAAAATGTTTCAATAATATCGAGAAAAAGTAAAGCAAAAAACACTGCAGTTATTAGGTATTATCAATAATATCCAAAATAAAATTATTTTAAATGTAGGGATGTAAAGCCAAATTTAATTTATTCTCGTTTCTAAAACATTGTCATTGTGTTAAAGATTCACCATATTTGTATTTAAAAAACTTGCTCCTACATAATACATTTCATGTTGTCAGTACACATTTCCATTTTCACTCTGCAAATAATAGAGTCGTTATGTCAAAGGGAAACATCTCCATTTGACATGTGATTTGATAGAATCATTAACCTATAACAAGTCCTGGAACACCAATTGTTTATTATTTTTTCTGCCCATCCTTCAAATGAACAAATTTCTACTTAACATTTGATTTGATAGCATCATGAACCTATTGCAAGTCCTGGAAATCATCTCGAGTTATCACTTGATTGGGTAACAACTTCATCCTGTAACCTACTACAAAATTTGAAACACCACTTTTTTATTATCTTTTCTGCCGATTTGTCATCTGATTGATTATATTATATGTCTATACGGCGAAAACATATCTAGTTGCCATCTCAATTGATAGTATCATCAACGTACCAGAAGTCCTAGAGCAGGAGCTTTTTATTAACTTTTATTTCCATATCACACCTATCACAAATCCTGTTGTCTTTTTTCTTACGTACGTCAGATGAACTCATCTCTAGTTAACACCTGATTTGATAGCATCAACAGCCGCATTTTTTAAAGAGTAAAATTGCTATAGCTCTGCATGACTTAACCTTTCGGATATCCCATTGACCATTTTAAAAGTGACCATTCTGTAAAAGAGCTACTTAATATTCTGAAAGTTTTCGGTTGTTCCAATATATTTTATATTTTAGTTGGTATATTTTATCCCCCTTTCGTATCTCGAACCGGGCAAAAATCCAAGTTGTTCCGGAAAAAAAAAAAATCCGCTCGCCGCGCGAAGCCATTGACACATATCCTTCCTTTTCTCTGTTAACAGACCTCCTTCCCTTCACCTTCCGCCTCTTGGGGGAGACCGGCGCCGTCGCAGCCGCCGCCGCCGCGACCACCTTCCTCCTGTGACGCCGTCACCACCCTCACGCCCCTAACCACTGCACCCTTGCATCGACACATAACATTGAGGCAGTACTTGGACGCCCCGCCCATAGAGGATACGTTCCCGGTAGTCGATTCCGGGTTGAACTTGCGTCCCCTCGCGGCGGCAACGTCGTCGTCGTCGGAAATGGCCAGTATTCAGACGTTGCCGTCGTTTTACTCGCGCGCGCCATTGCCGGTACCTCCGGAACTGAGTTGCAAAAGCAGCTCGTCGCAAGAGTGTTCGGTGATACAGACAGTGACGACCAGCGTAAGACATGTAACCGCGGCTCAGCTACCGCCAAAACCTCAGGTAGGTCGGAAAGGCTCGAGGTTCAGGACGTCTTGGCTCGACTCGTACATATGGCTTCAGTACGACGAGGCGCAGAACATCATGTTTTGCAAGTTTTGCCGGAAATGGAGCGGTGACATGCCCGACATTAGAACATCGTTCGCCGAGGGCAGCACAAATTTTCGTCTGGAGATTGTCAACCATCACGACAAGTGCAAAGCGCACAGGCTGTGCGTCGCCAGGGAGTACCACTCGGAGAGCGCAAGGGGCGGGAACGCCCAGGAGACGCCAGACGATACCGGCGAAACATCTAAAAACGTCGCTGAGCGTCCCGGGGTTTAGTATCGTCATTCTAGTCATTCAATTGGTTCATACTACTTTTTTTAAATTTGATGCAGTTTTTCCTTGCATTCGTTTTAAGAAATAAGCTTCGTCGATGTACGTCTTCATTGATTTGATCATATTTGCATAAATTGACATATTGCTTTTGTTATCAACTCAATCCACTAGGAATAATTAACAGAAAGCTATAATACATATTTAATTATAATATAATGCTTGAGTTGTGGTTCTTCAATAATGTTGTGTTGTTCAACATTTCGATCACAATGTGGATATTTATCAAGAATCTAAAATAAATAAAAATATTGTTAATGAATAAATTTAACATTTAAATAAAATTCGTCAATAGTTTGACTTGAATTTATGTTTACTATTATACCTGTTTTATAATAAAACAAATATCAAATAATAATATGATTAATCAAGAATATGTGACAATATCATAAAGAATTTGCGTGTCATTGTTTAGAAGTTGAAAGAACTAGAACGGAACTAAATAAATATAATTTACCTAGAAAAATAAAACATTCTAAATTTGATATCATAGTCTCTCACAAGTGTCACAAATTAATTTTTGCTCCATTAAGTTATTAATTAAATCAAATCTATATTTCATACCTTATTTAAATTACAGAAATTACAATTTTAATAAAAGGCAATAATTATCAAAAATTTGCAGTTTAAGCACTCAGTTAAAAAAGAAATAAATGCTGTAAATTATCGAAAATATATTAATAATTTAAGTCAGTTATGTTAAATTCAAATTATGAGAGCCATCAACCATCCTGTTTGTCACTGCGACCTAGAGGGTCTGTTATGACTCTCCATAGCTATAGAGCGCCCTCCAGGTTCTTCATCTCTCTGACGAGACTCCATAACTTCGACAGTGGTTCCTTAGTGTAGCTCATTGCTTCTGGTTTGGTTACGCCCAGTAGATGTAAAGGACTCTCGATAGGCCTTCACACTGACATAATCTGTTTATGGCTGGTTCCTCCTCTTCTTGGCAAAATCTGCATTCCGTATTTTCTTCCACTCCCATTAGGCTTAGATATCTCTTAAGCCGGCAGTGGACGGTCAGTAGACGTACTATTATTCCTACGGCCTTTCTTTTATAGCTTAGCAGGTCTTTTGTTAATTTGGCCGATGGGCCTCTAAGGAATTCTTTGGCTTGTCACTATTACCAAATTTTCTGGTACGATCATACATCTTGACGAGACGAGCCTTCACGGCCGCTCCGTCGGAGCTGTCATTACCTTTGTGGCCTTCGTGTCTTGGTACCTATGGCAGCGTCGCTTTATTCTGGCTTGTTATCTGGTTTTATGTCTTATGACAATCCAGAACTAACTTGGCTACCCAAAATTTAATAACGTAATGTAAATTTAAATTTAAATTCACTTTCTTATAGTAATAGTCTTTAAAATAAACCAACAATTGAATAAACTCTTGGCAATAATAAACAAACCTCAAAATCATTCAATTCATATCAGTGACTTCATACTTGTACTTTTCCAATTCATTAAAAATATCACTAAGTTATGTAAATACTTTTACATAAAACATTTAATATATATATTTTAGAGTCTTGATAAAGATCCACTTTTGGATCGATCAAATGAACCTAACCTAAGAACAACTCTAGCGTTATATGTATTTCAAGGTTGAAAAATATAAAGAAGCTTTAATGATTATTTAAATATATAAAATATAATTATATAAACATTTAAAATTTGGTCGTAATTAATTAAATTCTCGTTAATGATTTGCCATAATTTATCAACATTGTTTTTGTTTAAAATTTCTTTTATATTTTGCTGGCAAATTAAGTTATGCAGTTATACCTAGGCAAAGTCCAACATTAATCTCAGTGTTAAAAAATTTAGCAAGCAATCTTGGAATTATTCTGCGGTAGTTATAAAATATTAATATCATACTGTCAATAATCTATGAACAAATATGAGTCATGTGTACGATAGAAGAAAAGCAAATTAAATTTACAGATAAACTAAGCGTATTAAAAATAAAAATAAAATAACGGAACATAAATAGAAGCAGGGTAAAATTAGGGTTTTTGTGTGATAAGCTATTTACATGTTAACATGTTATACAGGGATGCTTATACCGTACATATGTTACACTTGGAATTGAATAATAGTTGATCTTAAACATTTATAAAAGTTGGTGATGCATTTTTTGGTACAGTTACATCTTTGAACCCTCGCCTTCCAAATGAAAAAATGTGTCCACTAATTGGGGAAGTCATATTTCTATTTTGGGGATGTCTTCGACTTAAAAAAAAACTCATTAAATTTTTGGATTTAGAAACGTTGAAAACATTTGATGATTTGTTTTTTTGGTGGCTTTCTTGGCTTCTTCAACTTCTCTAATTAATACCTCGTACTTCGTATTTATTGGTTTTTATATACATAAATTGTTGTTGTATATGTTGCAGTCAAAGTGTACATTCCAGTCAATGTATACATTTACTAGCCAATGCATACATTCACTTCCCATTTTATTGGAACGAACACTTTAACTAGTAACTGCATGCATTAACTAGGTAATGCATGCAGTTACTAACCAACTGCAGTCAAAGCGTTATTGATGAATTTCAAAATAAAATTTAGTTTAGCGAATAATTAAATTAATTATTGACTCGATGATTATTGCACTAGAGCTAGTTATAACATAAAAATACAAAAGCAACTAACATAGAAAGAAAATATTTTGAAACACAAACATATTTATAAATAAGAAAAACGCTTTATTTATTTGAACAATTCAAACTTCCATGGCATTTGAAATTGCACAATTTTTTTGCTTTAAGGCATGCACATCTATTTGTTGTGCATTTTGTTTTACATTGATAATTGGTAATTCAATGGCATTGTCTTCAATATCATTTGGCATTAATATATTTTCGGGACACACGCTAAACTGAGATCTGGAATATAACCCTTTTAAAATTCCATTGCGTGTTCCAATTTGAAAATAGTCATCATCCGTTTTAGTTAATAAACATCCCAATATTGTACGAGAATCTCCCCGTCCTCTATCAACTTCCGGTACCTTAATTCTTAGTGTCATTCCTACCTTTTTCATGCGCTTAGCTTGCTTTTTGTAAATTTTCTTTTGATTCTGTGATTGCACCGTGCAAATATCGCACATTTTATTACATTCCGGATTAAGTAAAATGTCACATCTATCACATTTTCGTAGGGTCACGGTAGTGTCAAGCGGTAAACAACGCTGTTCCGTGTCATCTTGAACCACTACCAAGTCCCCGACATCTTCACTGAAGATTATATCTGATTCTAGAGCATCTTCCCACAATGGTTTCAAGTCGTGGAATCTCCTAGACACTTTCTTCATTACCGTTGACATTTTCAAGAATTTTTTCCAAATATTCTTCACTGTTTATATTGTTTAATACCTCATGTAGTAAGGAAGAAGAGGTAAGACCGACCTTGGCGGGTTGTCCAAACATTGCCTCGTAAGGACTTCGCTTTATACCAGCGTGAAGGGCTCGATTTTTCATAAACTGCACATTATCCAGTCCTCTACTCCAATTACTGGTTTGATTTTTTTGCATCCATGCGATTAAAATATTCTCAATATCTTGATTCGCACGCTGCACACTGCCTTGAGACTGGCTGTGGCGTGGCTTCCCATGAACAATTTTTAATTCAGGCCATAAGCCTTTCAAATCAGCAATGACATGGTTAACAAATTCTCGGCCATTGTCCGATTGCAAAATAGATGGTGCCCCAAATAGTAAAAAAATCCGAAGGAGTTGATCAGCAACTTCATTAGCTGTCTTATTCTTAAGAGCTCTAAGAATGTCAAACTTTGTTAAGTGGTCCTGGAATACCAATATAAATTTAAATTTATCATCTGGCTGTGATTGGAAGATAATTAAATCTACTTGACATCTTGAATTAAAATGGGAACACACCATTGGCTTAACCACCAAGCCTTTCTTTTCATTCGCCCTTTTTTTAAAGCACACGTAACAATTATTTAAAAATGTTTGAATATCTTGTGCTGTTATATTTTTAAAGCGAAGGTTAAGTTCCTTTTTCATTCTGTCTCGTCCACCATGTCCAATTGATAAATGATTTCATATGAAACTTCAAACAATTCTTCAACAGTAATATAATACAGCACTTTTTCATTTGATATTGGTGCAATTAGTTTATCCACATTACATACATACACTATATCATAATGTTTTAGTAACCAGAAGTGACAATTTTCTTTTTTCTGAGCAGATTTGGCGGATTTAACATCATTTATTAGTTTTGAAATATCTTTCCGCAGTCATACGAAAGCCGTTAGCTTTTTTTGGAGTATTGTTAATATATTTGCAGAATTTATCTTTCATCGCTTCTTTATCCATTTTATATTTATGACTAAAAAAATAATTAATAATTAATTAGTCTGGACACATACAATTTAAACAATTCACTTACCAAGAATCTCAAACGGAAAAACAAACAGCAAACGGTGCAGCACGAATAAAGAGGTTAGGTTTTAGGTTTCCCGGTAAATTTAACCCACTTCTCGCTTTGACTAGAAGCAGTTCGTGAATGCATACATCGACTAGCAAATGTGTTCATTTCGGTTAAAATAAATATATTAACTACGGAGTTTAGCAAATGTATGCGTTGGCTAGTAAATGTATACATTTTCTAAATGAATGCTTTGACTGCAACATATACATAATTGTTCGACGTCAAATAAAACTTCCCTCTAAACGTCAGCCGAGACTTAAGTTCGGTAGTTATAATTTAGGTCTAAAAGTATACTAGATTGTTTTCGTTTTTTTGTGAACTTTTCTTCTCTTGAATCCAAAATTGCTTAATTATTGAAATATTGTTTTTGCTCTAATGTAACTTTTTGACACCGAGGACCATTATTTTAAGTCAAATTCAATTAAATGCGATTTTTACCATAATTTTAGTATCCCGATTTTCTATGAACAAAACTGTATATCCCAAAAGTCGCAATTCTTGACAGTGGCAAAATTTTCTGCATATTTTTTTTATATTATTTAAGATACCATCCTTTGCTAACTATATTCTGTGCAGCAAGAGGCATTTCCAAATTGATAACACTTTTTTACTTCTACCGGGATTCGTACAACATAGTTTTAAAGAGGAAAAAAGAGGACGCCTCTTACATTTTTCTCAATAAATATTTTCGAGACAGACTTCTGCATAAAAATTACGTTTAGGTTTTTCTTATCTGATTCACAGTTCTTCATTAAAATAGTTAAATTAAAAGTGCAACTTTTCGCACCAATGACTAACACAGAAAACTTCATGTGAGGTGGATTAAACTTATTATTTTTTTACTAATAGTAATTGAATTATTATAAAAAAATGTTGGAAATGGAAATCTTCACTTCACACGCTCGCATTGATTTCTGCACTCGTTCGATTTTTTTTACGATACGCTTTTAAGGTGACCTCGTAAAAACAAATCTAAACTATTGACACCAGGGGATACGTAAGATTCAGATTAGGTCTGTCCTTTACTGCTACCAAAAAAATCTATTGTGACTCTCTTCATATAAAGTTTTATATAGGTTCACCTCCCTCATAGGCTCCGCAGTTTCGATAGACAAAAGGGTGATTTGACAAATGACGAAACCGTCCAAAGAAAATCACCTGAAAAAACTCAACAGTCAACCATTTTTTTTAAATATGCTATTCGAATCGCTGACGGGCGCCAGTGCTATAAACAAAAGCCAGTGTTGTGTGCGTGGAAATGTCGGTTGATGCACAGAATATATTGACCCAATTTTGCAATATTTAGAATCGTTTCCTAGATAATATAAAAAAAATACTCTGTGTATCTCAAAAGTTTAGATGTTTATGAAGAACAGACCATTAAGGAATATCCTGTATATATTTTTTAAAAGGCAACTTATCAGGGTTCGTTATCATAATTTTCTATACCATAGTGTAGTTGTTTTTTCAATTTGACAAATTTATTTTAAATTCTTGTCTGACTAACCCGCTCGTTACAATGGCATTGTCTAAAAATCGGCAGCCATAATACACAAAGCTTAAATTCCCTGAAAAAATATGAAATGAAACCCTCTCTTTCGAGGATAGAATGCAGGATTCTTGCCTACCCGGGGAACCTTGAAATACACAAACATCACAAACTGATTATTAACATTTTTTTTTAATTCTTTAAAGGACCAAAGGAAAGGAGGGTATTTTTCAATTTAATTTAATTAACATTAAATGTTATTCAAATATTTCGTTTTTAAGGTGACAATTTAAGGCACTAATTTTAGTTCAAAGAGTATACTTACCCATAATTTTAAATGTGACAACTATGTGTCAGGTGCATAACTATTATTTCACGACGACAATTACCATCAACTACCAACGAATAGATAAATTTTGACACGAGAGTTGTTAATGTGCCATTTAAACGTTTCTTTCGAAGATCTTTTCTGAATATTGTGTTTTTTTAGTAAATCTGCAATTGACTGCTGAAACAGCGCCATCTTAATATGAAATAAATGGGTAAAACGCATCCGCACATCCACTTTCAAATGTTCAAAACCAACAATGGATTATGAGCAGAATACTTAAATTTCTTGTAATTAAGTTTTATAAACCGATTCATTTGTTTTCATTGCGTTGAAAAAAAGTTCTTAGTTGATGCCAAATAACCAACTTTGTTAAACGACGCAGGTTAGATAAAGTCGACCCTAAATGTATGCTGCAAAAGTATTGAGTCGATCACATACATAGTAGTAAATTAATTGTAAAAAAAAATCGTTTAAAGTATAGTTTTTATATTTTGACCCTGATTAGCAAAATGTCTAATTTATGAAGTAGTATGAATCATTTGTTAGAACGATTACCCCGGCAGCATTTGTTTTTCTCTCAGGACCTAAACGTAATACTTATCTAAGTGAATCGACCAAAATGAGCAACCTATCCTGTTGTTTATATATTACAAAATATTCTCCTATTATATAAATATTTTTGTTACATTTTAAAGATGTTGTGATATGGAAACGATTGTGTGAGAATCTGTATGTGATTTTAAGTGTTTAAAACACTCTAAAATTGTTTTATTTACTAATTTCTACCGTATTTTAAATACAATACGAGGCCGCCATTTCGTTAACTCAATATCATATTGAGATCAGTGTTGTTTCAAAACAACCCTTTTTCTAATACTAATTTAAATTTTCAATTTATCTTTATGTTTATTGATAACGATTCTGGACAATTCTCTTTGTAACAGGTTAAAAACCCGTTTTGTTGATATTTTGTTCAATCTTTTGGTGTATACCCATTTTGTTAATTTTTTGTTTAGTTTTTGTGTTCATGTGAATATCTTGCTTACCGAGGTGTCTTTTTAAATTAAATGTTGCTTACAACTTTGGGATTTTCATTGTTAACTTTACTATAAAGTTTATATTTTAATTTTATTTGCGTTGCTTTGCTTCAAATAAAATATATTATTTCTAGGATGTGTTTTTTTTTCACCGTTAATTTTTTTTGTATAACAAATATGAACAGCGCCTGTGACCTACCCTCAGTAAAATCGCAAACGTCTCCCGTAATTTTTGACAGTTGACTACCGAGGAACTGGCACTGCCACCTACATTAACTCTACAAACGTGGAAGTGACTTTTGTTTTAATGTTTTCATCATCATTTATAGCATGAATTGTTCAGTATAATGGAATATTTATTAAATTGATTTTTTTTAAAAAACTTCTTCCACTCTATTTTTTTTAAATCGGTGGATGTGGAGGACTAGGAAATTTGTTTCAATATATTTTATTGATAACGTGTAGCAAAGCTGTCGCTTCTTATGGCAGGGTAGTTATGCCTTTAATAATGATAGTAATTGTTTATGCTTATTTTAAGCGAAATCAGAACCAGAACCTCACCGGTGAGAATAAAAATCATTATAGTATTTGTATATCAAATTTCATTTAAAATATGTAGAGCGGTGTTTAAAAAAAAGGTGTATGCAGGAAAATATATATTTTAAAATTGCCACCTATTTTTTTTATGGGAGGGGTCAGCAATAGCATATTAAAAATCGATCGGGACCCTTCATAATTTGCTTGACAGAAAAATTCTATATTTCCTGAGGATAGCCCGCAGACCGAAATATTTTTGTAACTTCTCCCTTTTACGATCTACAACATCCTTATAATAATGAATAATTAAAATTCCACCAAGTGTTTGTTGTATTTTGATTCGGCCATTTTATCACAGGGCGGAAGCGTGAGCGTTCACCAGGACGAAGCCAGGGTGTCGCTCAGTCACCACGACACGCAGGATAACATCGAAACATCTAGTTTACCGCCCCCCGATCTGACGGATACTATAGATGGTAAGTGATACGATAAACGCTCGCATGTTTCGCTTCCTCTGCCACCATATTCCACATATTTCGCTTAATTTACTACATCGTTTTTTGTTGTGGCATTCGCTTTCCTTCGTTTTTTTTTTTCTCAATTATTGTTGCTTTCATTTGTCGAGGTCTGGATCTAAACGTTTGCGGGAAACATACGCACATTTGTTCGAAATGGGATTTTAAATGTCAATAGTTTGAGGTTAAGAGAGAGTCAATCGATGTAAAACAAAACCTTGTTGTAATTGAGCTTGGCAAGAGGTTAAGATATGAATACACTTGCAAATAATTTCTCTTATCGACAACCAAATCATTCACGCGTGAAAAAAAAAATGTTCCACCACTTTTTCAAATTTTTATCTCTACATGGACTACAACCTTAATGGCTCTATGAAAGGCTTCTTCCAAAGCATATACGTATTCAAGGAATACCGTTCAATCTCCGCCTCTTAACACTTATTTCTATATTGTCCTGTCTTGCACACGGGAGCCTCAAATTTTAATGCGTTCTAGTGGTCATTTGCTCATTACTGTGCAGAAAACATGAGGAGTCGAGTTTTATCTATATTTACAATTTGTGGTAGTCGAGGTATCATCTTCGTATTGGCAAAAACGGAGCAATTAATATGTTATTTTCAGAATGTTAGTAAAACATAAAACAAAGGAACCAAAAATTAAAATAAAAGACAAAACAAAGACTTCGTGATCCCATAAGCATCTGTCTTTTGAGTGTCATCTTAATACACAAACTTAAACTTCGTAGAAAAAAAAAGGTCGTTAAATGTTTTAGTCGAGTCCATTGTTGCCAAGTTGTATGTATTTTTAAATAATAGTATAAATACGTATAAGCTCAGACCAGAAACTAACCATGTGTCTGGAAAATGAAGGTTCATCGGCAATCATTAAGACTTTATTTGGTCCTATTTATAATATCTTATATTTACACTACCACCCGACTAACAGAATGATCTCAAAATTCGCGTGATCGCTCTGACTTGATACAGCAACTTCATGTGGTACATGTAACCCACCCCAAAGACCACAAAATAGTTGTCCTGTAAACCACTTTAAAATCATTGGATTAATGCTTATGTGTAAGAAGGTGTTTTTTTCTCTTGCTATGGAGGCACGAAGTGCGCAAAGTTTCTCCAAAACACAAAACTGTCATGTTGTCTGTCTTGCGTCGAGTTGCTCATATTTTATCCAAACATTCTTGTTGTGTTCGCAGCTGTGAATTCAATAATTTAGGGCCTTGTGTTTTCATGATAAATGAAAAGTGGATCGCAAAAATGTTTTCATTAATATCGGAACAAGGAATTAAAAAACTGTTCATTACGCTGGGCAAAGATTTCTCGAAGATGTAATGCCAAAATGCTCAATTAAAAATTACCCGTTGCTGATAAAAACTGGAAAAAAATGTGATTTTAATTTTCATTGACCCTGAAGACTTTTAAATTCAGGCCTTCGCGACGAGCCCGTTTCTGCGATGGACGGTCCCAGGTGTTTTAAGCGATCATTGAAAATATAAGTTTTATGGTGTTTCTCACCCCACCTACCTTCATAACTGTGTAAGATTGAGAAATAAGGTCTTTATGCAAAAGTTTAACTTAGTTTCATTCATATATCCTGTAGAAAATTCAACTCAAATTAGTATAAGACCCCCTGAGATTGTTAATTTTTATTTTGACTTCCAAAGGCGCCTTCGTAGGTCAAATGAATATTTGTTTCTTTTACAAAAAGTAAAAAAAAAAGATAAATTTAAAACGAAACGCAGCTAAAAGTCGAAAGATACTCAAAGAATACTTTACATTACACAATTCATTTGGCGATTGGAGGATATTTTTGAATGTTAAATGCTTTTTTGCTGTTATTAACTGTGAGAGTCGTGGAATGCTAGATTGTATTAGTTTTTTTTCTGATTATTAAAATTTACACATAAAATTGAACCAGAGAAAATAGCCATATTTTACGGTACAAGTTAAGAAGATAAAACAATAGCCATGAATGAGAGAAATGAATGAAGAAATACAAAAGGACGTCAAACTTTCTTTGTCTTTATTTATATATGTAGTATATTATTAGTATATAATTACACTTAATTTTTAACGATAGAGGTGTACAGCGTCTCACTTTGGCAACCTCTTAAAATAGTTACTCATTGGGAACAACTTTCCAAAAAACTAATATGGAATAAACTTAAAACACTTTCACGACATTTCGTGTTTCTCCTCTGGCGGCCATATTGATGAGCTGTTTTCGTAGAGTCGTCAAAAGTATGAGCGACTTACCAGCAGGCTTAGCATTTTCAGCAACTTTTTGTGGCAAACTGTTTTTTTTTTTCATAAGTTTCAAAACGCTATAGATATTTCATCTAAATTTTATACACTGTTTTCAAGCTGCAAGGACATTTTTTTTTAATTTTTTAATTTTCTATTAAGAAAAAGTTACACACCAAAATAATTTGAAAGTTTCTGTTTTACTTTTTTATCACAATTTTAGGAAAAAGCAGTAGCGCATCATTTATTCCTTAAACGCAAATCTGGTATAGCGTTACTTCACAAATATTTCGCAACAAACACTCCTTTTGCTGTTTGAAAGCAGTGTGCAAAATGCCAATGAAACATGCCGAGTCTTATGAAAATTTTAATAAAAAGTGGTTTCGCACATACAAGGTGTAAGGACAACTGTATGACGGTTCTATAGATTATATATATATATATATATATATATATATATATATATATATATATATATATATATATATATATATATATATATATATATATATATATATATATATATATATATATATATATATATATATGATGACACTATATTCCGGGATATCATCCGTTCGCTCGTTGAACTCCGACTGGAATCCTGCAAATCTTGCATCCGACTGGAATCCTGCAGACGTTTCGCCAAAATCTCACTTGGCATCTTCAATGCTCGCGCTCCGAAAACACTTCGAACACGAGTGTTTTCGGAGCGCGAGCATTGAAGATGCCAAGTGAGATTTTGGCGAAACGTCTGCAGGATTCCAGTCGGATGCAAGATTTGCAGGATTCCAGTCGGATGCAGGATTCCAGTCGGAGTTCAACGAGCGAACGGATGATATCCCGGAATATAGTGTCATCACATTTTTCCATCCGTGAATCAATACGTGAGAATATATATATATATATATATATATATATATATATATATATATATATATATATATATATATATATATATATATATATATATATATATATATATATATATATATATATATATATATATATATATATATATGATGACACTATATTCCGGGATATCATCCGTTCGCTCGTTGAACTCCGACTGGAATCCTGCATCCGACTGGAATCCTGCAAATCTTGCATCCGACTGGAATCCTGCAGACGTTTCGCCAAAATTTCACTTGGCATCTTCAATGCTCGCGCTCCGAAAACACTTCGAACACTGTGTTCGAAGTGTTTTCGGAGCGCGAGCATTGAAGATGCCAAGTGAAATTTTGGCGAAACGTCTGCAGGATTCCAGTCGGATGCAAGATTTGCAGGATTCCAGTCGGATGCAGGATTCCAGTCGGAGTTCAACGAGCGAACGGATGATATCCCGGAATATAGTGTCATCACATTTTTCCATCCGTGAATCAATACGTGAGAATATATATATATATATATATATATATATATATATATATATATATATATATATATATATATATATATATATATATATATATATATATATATATATATATATATATATATATTAAATAAATCGGCAATTAACTCATTTTAATAAACTTGGTGTCATTTTTGCTAGGTTATAAATCGTGCTATGAGTGACGCGATTGTAATTGCTTAACTTGCCGAAGGATAGTTTTCTGACATAATCGAAAAAAATGTATTTTTTTTTTAAAGAGAATAAATGGAACGATACGAGTTTTTATTCATATTTTAGGTTAGGATAACGATATTGAGATGCGATTTGGGTTGTTAACTATTTAATGACATACAATAATTCAAATCGTTGCATTAATTCTTTTTGTGAATGTTTCATAAAAATCTCACCGCAACTATGGTTAACCGAGTATTTAAATTCAAGATAACAGTTACG